GGTATATGTAGCTCTGTGAAACATTATATGTATGTATATCTAGTAATACTATTTTCATACCTATACCTATACCATCATTATATGTATTTAGGTAAAGAAAAGTATTGACACTAGTTTTATATTTTTATTTTTATATAAACAAATATTTATTGAACATCTGAAAAAAATTATAATAGGGTACTGTAGTTTAAAGACATAATAAATTTACTGCTTGAACATTTATTCTATAAAATCATTTTCTATTCAAGTTTGTCACTGCTGGAGTCACTAGGTGATCTATTTTTGGGGAAACTATAGCTATATGTGTACACTCTATTCTACCAATTACGTTTGGAAATAGAACCACGTCACACCACGTGCTAAAAAAAATTACGTACTTGCACGTCTGGATTTAGCGCATTCTACTCTGCATTCTGCAATGTGCGTTGCGTTATTTTTATTCTGTCTACTACCTTTTAGGTCACTCTCATCACTAGTCAAATCAGTAGTCAATCATTAAAATTTAAAATTATTTGTTTTTATCATTAGTGGGCTATTCTAAGAAAAACTAATAAAAAATTATGAGTGAATTATATATTCTGCATCTTGGTAATCCAAATGAAAATTATTGTTTCCAGACTCATGTCTAATTTTTTAAATTTTTTGATGATCTTGAAATCGGGCTTCCCTTGCACATACAATATATTTTTTTTAGGTCACATCTTAAGAGTTTCAGATTTAGTATTTCACAAAAATGTTTTAAATACTTCTAATGATTTTTTTCAATATATGTAATATTCTACATAATTAAAATATTTTTTTAAACACTGAGTAATTTATATTTAAAATACTTTGCAAATGAAGTATTTTGTTTTTAAAATACTTTCGTACATTCGTACTAGTATTTTGTAATTTTTATTTTAAATACATTTTGAAAGTATTTTGCCCAGCTCTGGTAGTTGTGTGTCTCTAATAGATCTATGTATATTGCAGTCTTAAATGATATCTAAAGTTTTACTCTATTTTGTATGTTCCGTCATGGAATAAGATACTAGTTAAGGATATTTTTAATCTCCTCAAAATAATTAATTTGAAAATAAATAAATTCAGGATAGCTAATTATAATTACCGCCCTTTCATTTTGATAACAATCAGTGAAATGAGTTTGCTGAGATAACAATATTTGATAACAAGAACTTGCTACAATGACATATCATATTGTTAAAATTTGTCAAACAGAATAGAAAATCTACGAACCTTGTTACCAGATAACCAGATCTCTTTAAAATAACAATAAGCAGTATTGCTATGTTCAAACAGAATCGACATGATTATCAGTTTATTGAATACAGTTATTTATAAAATAAAAAAATACTTTTAATTATGACAAATTCTATTTAGAAAAGTGCTTACCACTGTAAAACGCAGGCAGCAAATGCATATTACTACGATAGTAGCTATCATTTGACTAAAAACGATGAAAGAGTAGGTAGTTTCCAAATCTTCCACAAACCTAAAAGTGTTATTAATCATAACTATTTCCTAGATATTGCTAGTGTAATTGTCACAAACAAAACCTTAATTGATTGGCCTAAATTACAAATATATATTATTATGTTATTAATTTTGGCTCAACTTTAGAGTCAACTATACCACCCTAAGAAAACGTTAAATGAGAAAATTATCCGATACAATATACTTACTTATAAATGGCTTCATAATGATCAACGCAGTGGCATATCTTCTTATAGATTATGTTGTTTTTCAAATTATCTTTATCTTCCAAGCTCAGAGACTTGCCCTCCTTCAGAATTTGCTCTTCTGCCCTTTCGCCCAGGTGCGCCAGAGTGTCTTTGAGAATTTTGATTTGGCTTGCGGCGTGATACACCTGAAAGGCTAACAAAGTGTCGACGCAGATGTTGTCCACACCAGCATTCACTACAACTGTGTATAAAAAAATAAAACTTAGGCTTCCACTAGAACCAAATTTTTGATTGTAAAACATCGATTTTAATACTTTACCCAGAACGAGGAAGATGTACAAAGAAAAATAAATCGGCGTGTTCTCGAATGGGTCGAAGGGCAGCCATACAGTAATAGGGAATCTTCTTACTTCATATACCAGGGGTACACAGGCCCAACATAGAACTGTAAAGACACAAGACGTACAATATGTCAGAAATACAAATCTGCAGTTGTCAACAGTCTCTGCCAGAATCCAATCTTGCTCAGGCAACTGGCTGTTGAAAATCCTTTGTTTCAAAGCGTACATTGTCCTCCTCGTGCCCTCTGGATTTACTTTACATGGCAGCATCTTCATAGTAAGAGTTATCAGCTCCACCATCATAAAACCGTCTTGTCTGATAATTTGGATGCTTTCTTCAGCTCTAACCACCAGTAATACTACTATCAGTGCTGGTGTTATGAAGGTGAAAACCAAGTAGAAGATGAAACTGTACAGTTTGTAAATTTCTGGCCAGCTATCGAAGGGGTACAAACCGAATATCTTCATTATGGCTATGTTGTATTTGAAGGTCCTCTGGACCAAGTCTTCCGAGGACATTTTGTGAAACTGACGAAGAAAATTAAAAGGCAGCCTGTTTTATTTTTAGTATTAGAATTATTTATAACCGAATTGTTCGTATGTTAAAAAGTGGATAGTACATATTTTCGTTTGTAATTAAAACAATTAGCCTTTTTGATGTAAAGCGTGTTGAAAGGGAATATGTAATTACTGTAATTAGATAATTATACCCTAATTTTTGGTGTTGGGCCAATTAGAAAGAGTTTTTGGAATCGAATTACCCTGCAATTAGATCTAATTTCTTTATACAAGGTGGGTCACCAGTAACGCCTCTGTGGCTAGGGACCAAACAGCAAATGTTATAGTAACTTGTTCAGGTGGGTATTTGTAGGTTGATTACATTGCTACATTTTAAAAATATTTTGAATTATACGCGGTATCCAGGAAAAGCGTACCATATCAAAGTTATGTATTTTTAAGTGGAACACCCTGTATTTTACTGCATTTTTGAAAGCACCGTAAAAAAGTAGGTGAACTTTATTAAAGCTTTTTCATACCTAGGGCTTATTGTTTGTGAGATATTTCAATTTTTTTTGAAATTTCAGGCTTATCGTAGAAATTTAATATTCACGATAAAAATATAATTTTAAGGAAGCAGTTTTGGAGAGTGTATATTAGATATTTGAAGTTATAAATTATTATATTTGTCGTCACCGAAAATATGCTTGCTCTCGCAGTAACTGGTTAATCTCTGTTTTATTTATTTATGTCCAGCAGGTCATTTGGAAGTCAAAATAATTTTTCTGTGAGTAACTCGACATAAATATTAGAAGCAAAAATTGTAGAATTTTGGAAAGACTAAATGATGACCTTGGACTGACCTAACGGCTGATTAGATGTCAATCTCCATAACGGTCCAATCATCAAATTTTAATTATTAAACTAATGTGTTAAATTTCAAAATTGTTGTGAATATCATCCTCATAGTTTTAGTTAAATATATTTTCAAATCCATTATTTATGTGAAAAATGAATTTGACCTTCATCTAACTTGCAAGGGCATCCTAGAAAAAATTTTTGATACCAGATTTCGACATAATACTTGGTAAGTACTGTATGAAAATGGCGTATTCCATACGATAGTAAGTTGACCTTGGTTTGACCTTACAACTTGTGAAGGTCAAATTTAATCGAAATCGTACAAATTTTGCTCGAAATATTTTTGTCAAGTTATTTAGAGAAGATCAGTTTGATCTCCTAATATACCCTTTAATATTTTCAAGTTGATTTTAGTTTGACCTTGAAATTTAAGATCAAGGTCAAATCCAAGCATACTGACTTCGTGACATCCCGCAACTTTTATCTGATTTTTTTTGACAGGACCTAGTCTTGAAAAATTTTTGGGACACTTACTGACATAAAGTGATAAAAAAGTTTATAGTTTTATATCTTACGCAAGATTTTCGGAAGTTGACATTTTTACGGATAATTTTTAGTATAAAACTATACCAGAAGTTTTATAAAAAACCTTTTGTCGATTTTCCTTCAATACATCACTGCCCGTTTCCATGGAAACGTAAGCACAACAAAAACCTGTCTGAATTAAATTTTAACTATCCGCTTACGTGAACAATTAAAACAATGGCTTTGTTACAAGTTTGAAAGTGACCTGCAGCAAATTAGAATAAAATATTTAACTAGTGCACCCGGGCACTAATAGTATTCGATTCAATCGAAATTCATGCAAATGTTTCATTGTTAAAATCTAAAAAAAGTAGTCAAATGTTCTAAAAAGTTATGAAATAAAATATTACTAGATTGCACGTACATATCTTTATTTTAACAGTGTGAATTATCTATTTTTTATATTTTAAAGATTTTAATTTTAACACTAACCACAACAGTATGTGTTTCATAAAAGTTAACAAAAAACTTAATAATCTGTAATTTGTAGTAGTTAAGGTACCTGGGGTGTTATAGGGTTAATAATGCGGCAAAGTCGACGGTGTACCTCTTTGACCAATTATCCTATAACACCCGTGATGCTTTCAACATATATGTTATTACATATTTGCTTGATATTTAATCTGTATTGAATTTATCAATTTATCTCTGGTAATACATATTTAATGTAACTCAAAATATGACTATTGCTACAAAACGACAGACTAGAGAGACATTGAATGCTTACATGATTCACATAGTGCACATCTAGTAGATTTCAACTAATTTAGTGATTTTAAGATAAAATTATACCTATTTCCACTAAAAGTAGTGCAAGTTCTCGAATAAACCATACTAATAATTCTTTAGGACTGCCAGTAGCGAGTAGGACCTGCGCATAACCTAAAATTAAACGTGAATGAAAATTACGACAGTTTCCTTGATTGAAATTTTCTACCGTAGCGAATGTCACAAGCGTGAGGTCCATAATTTTCCCAGCGGTGATAGTCATAGGTCTCTTAGCCCTTTCCATCAAGATAAGTAGGGCCTTCTTAGATTTTTTGTCGTAGTTATACCAGTCGCTCATGTAAATGGCAGTTACCACTGAATTACTCTAAAAAAAATCAATAAACGTGAATCGTTTTGTAGCTTCGAGATTGATAAATATGAATTAAAATTACACAAGCCGACTTTTAACCACACATATGAACCATCTAAAGTGATACTTTGTCCACTAGTGGAATAAAGTAAGTAGAATAATGAAAAAATAATAAACCTACAATAAATCAAATTTAATTTATTTACTTATTAACATTAACATTTACATTTATAGTACTAGACATTTCGTTTTAACTTTCTTTCCGTTAATAACAACCCTTGTAGCATTGTTGCCATCATTTTCGGAACGCATAACATCTTCCGAAGTTTGTGAAGAATTTGCACAAGTTACAGATGTCTCTTCTTGTAAGGAACAGCTATATTTTCCTTGGATTTTCTTTGCAATATCAAGTTTGTTAGATATAGACTCCTCAACATAACTTTCTGCTACAGAGGAGCTCTTCCATCAACCATGCCGTTTGATGGTTGTAAGATTAGCACCTTTATTGGCCAATAAAGTTATTGAAGT